TCTTGCCGGCCAGCCGGCATCAAACCTGCACTGCAGAGGCTGTGGACAGCTTCACAGTGCGGCACTTAACCACCTGTGCCACCAGGGAGGCTCTCATACTCATATTTTAAGAGACCATTATCATTCATCTTTTTTACTAGATTTTACCTAAAAATAAAATAGGAGCATATCCTCATGGCATGACACAGGACAAACTGCAGTTGTTGACCTTGCCTCATTAAATTGCTATTTCTAAATCAGAGCCTCTCTCAGATCCTGTTTAATGGAAGGCACACATGAACTTTTCTCTTAGTGCTCAAGATCACAAAAATATCAGACACTGGGAGGCAGTCATACTAAATTCCATGAGACCCAACAGACCACAGTGAGGTCCTTGGGAATTCACGTCAGGGGTTCAGTTCTTCAAGGGTTTTCTCCTTGCTCCCTGAATGACCACCACAGGGTTTCACAGGCAGGATAGACTTTGCGAACATTTCCACAGTGGTAAGGTGGACCGGGGGGTGGGTGTGTACCTTATCACCAGAACAGGATTTTAATTTCATTTTCAATGGAGAAGCATTTCTTCTTTATCTCTAGAGATATATGTGAAAAAGCTTTTTTCCCCCACTGCCTGTTTCCTGACTCCAACCTCGAATCAAGGACAAGAAAGGAGATTGAACTGCCTGAAAAAAACCTTTTTCCTTTCTGAAAAAAAGTGTATGTGTTGGGGGTGAGGGGATGTGGAAAAGGCAGAGAAATGTGAGTCTGAATCAATTCCCAGATAATTCAGACACTGAAGCAGCCTTCCCGTATCTTCACACGTCATCCTGAAAAGTTACACATTAATTGTATGTTTGTTCCCCCACTTTCCTTATCACTAAATGCCAATATCTTTCCTTCCCAAGGATGCTCTTTTAACATAACTCATTTTAGTTAACCGTTTATTAGTGTCTAATATGTGTACAGGACTTTATCTGCATTATCTCAGTTACTCCAGAAGCAGGATGAGAGAGCACAATTACTGTTCCTATTTCACAGATAAGGAGAGAAAGGCACAAGAAGATTGGGATAACTTGCTGAGACTCAACCTCAAGATTTTCTGACTTCAAAACTGTGTCCTTAAACACTACCCAGGCCCTTCCCTCAAACTGATATTCAGTCAAGTTGAAGATTCTGGGGAGGGAGTAAGAAGCTGATATTTCCTCCTATCAAATGGGTAACAGCTGCTTTGCTTAAGGCTTTATACACTTTCTCCTCCAACCTTTTTCAAAACCCTCCATGGCAATTACTGATACAATACCCACCCCACCTTCTCCAAGTGCAGAAAGGTTAAATAACATGCCCCAAATCACACATCTAGACAGTGACAGAACCCATCTTCAAAACGGTGTCCCTCTGACCCCAGCACCACAGAACACTGGAGAAACCATAGCATTCTTCTCCCATAGCAGATGGGGAAAATGCATTATTACATTTCATTTGGATTTTGTTAGGACATGCACACTTTTGTTAAATCTTATACTGTCTTAATTTAAAAATAATCCTTATTTTAAAAATATAGTATTTCTATAATCAAAAACACATATAACAAAGGATTGGAGGAAGCACGCAGAAATTGGAACCCTCACATACGCTGGGGGGAATGGGAAGTGGTGTGGTTGCTTTGAAGGCTGTGTGGTGGTTTCTTTAAAGGTGAAGCATAGAGTTCCCTTGCAATCCAGCAATTCTCCTAGGAATATACACAAGAGAATTGAAAACCTATGTCTTCACAAAAATTTGTACATGAATATTTATAGCAGTATTGCTGATAACAGCCAAAAAGTGGAAATCAGCCAATGTCCATCTACTGTGAGTGATAAACAAAACTGATATATCCACTTAATAAAATATTATTCAACAATAAAAAGGGAGTACTGATATAGGTGTGGTACAATGTGGACAGACTCAAAACATTATGCTTAGTGAAAGACAGTCACAAAAGACCACATATTGTGCCACTCTGTTTATGTAAATTCCTAAAACAGGAAAATTCATAGAAACAGAAAATAGATGGGTGATTGCTAGTGGCTGGAAGGTAGCAGACAGCAAAAGAATTAAAGTTTCTTTTGGGGGTGACAAATATACTCTAAACTTGATTGAGGTGAGGACTGCACAACAGTACAAATATACTACTAGAAACCACTGCATTGTGCACTTTGGGTGAATTGTATGGCTTCTGAATTATATCTCAGTAAGACTGTTATATATTTATATTTACAAATTGCAACATGGGAAAAAAAAAAAACATGTGGTAGGTTCTTGAGAAATATATATCGGATAAATGCACCAAAGCACTTCATGAGTATTTAAAAATACCAGTGCATTTAAAATCAGTATATCTTTTAGGAGTATACAGTACTTATTTTGTAACAATGCCGCACAAAGTATCCCTGGAATTGAATGCTGATAGCTAATGACCTCCCAGGAGTGCGGAGATGAGGCCTCAGGGATGAGGCCCAACTACGCAGGAATTTCCCCTCTGCACCAACAGGACCAAGTGTGGTGAGAGAACATTCTGTGACTTGCTAACAATGAAGATGCTGCTGAGTGTTAACTGATCAAAGCCCTCAGTGGAGCCAAACCCTGACCTGTGGAGAAGCAGCAGGGTGACTCTAGGCCACCAGCTAATGAAGATGTCATCTGGGTCCTGGCATCTGGGGAGATGAACAATCTTCTTTTGTTGCTAGAAAACTCAAGGGCAGTTCCTGACAGCATTTGTTTAGGTTTTTTTTTTTTTAAGTTTTGATTTTTTAAATTTTTTTTTAATTTTTAAAGATTTATTTATTCATGCAAGAACTGGGGTACAGGCCAGATGTGTGGGAAGATGAGAGGATTCACCAGTGACAGAGTGGGGAACAGAACAGGCAGACTGACAAAATACACTGCTGAGGGGAGCAGTGGGCGAGACAGGAGAGGTCTGCTGCGCCATGTGGGATTCTCACCAGCTGGCTGGGATAGAACCTGCACTGCAGAGGCTGCGGACAGCTTCAGAGCACAGTGCTCAACGCCTGCACCACCAGGGAGGCCCTCCTGACAGCATTTGAATATTTATGGCCACCTTTGAACCAACATGAAGGATTATGGTAAGAAAAAATTCCAGATAAAAATGGAATTCAGTGTTCAAGGTTGAAGGGAAGGGGACATGGAATAAATAGATGTCTGAACTTGAGATCCAGTTAAGGAATTAGTTAAAGAAAGGCCAAAAAAAAAGTATCCAAATGCTAAGTGCAGTGAAGAAAGAAGGTAGAGTAGTGGATTTACAGCAAAACAGATGAGCTCACTAGACAAGTTTTGCATGAGCAGATAAAAATCTAGAACCTAGCATTGACTAGATAATCCCCTAAAAAAAATGGTTTTTAAACCTCCCTTGTCTGGGAAAGAAAACCTCCCCAGGATATTTAGAAAGCATGTATTTTACAACTCTTGAATTCCATATAAACCTTGGATTTAGATGTTTGTTCTGAGGGCCTCATGCAAAATGGGAGTGGGAATATGTCACAAAATTGCAAAACACTTCTTCCAGATACAGAGGCTCAGAGATGCCATGTACTGAGTCCTTGATGTCACATCTTCAGGGACTCAGTGGTGTTATTTAGGAGAGAATTCAATCCATTATACAAGAGGCATCTTTGAGTGAAGCAAAACACAACTATAAAATATGCGGTGTGCACTCCGTGTGAAGGATAGTTAGCTTTTCTGTATTTTTATTTCTATCCATTTCTAAAACAATTATGTGAGATAAATATTTTACAGATGTGGAAGAAACCATAATTCAAATAAATCAAGCAGCTTTTCCCCCAAAGCACGACTAGAAAGTGGTAAGATTCAAGGGTAAGATTCAATCATGGGTCTCTAAACTTCTTAACCATAATTTTTCCCACTACTGTATACCTTTCGAAAGTAAGACCAATAAGTTTGTCCAACCATAGAAGGCATTCTAGAATGAAAGAACAATTTCTTTGATAGAGATGATAGATCACCATAAAACTAAGCAAATCGCAAGGAGCCTACTGAGAGAGGAAAAGGAGGACTTTGGGGTTTGGAACACCTGCAAATCAGGGGATCATAAGACAAGGAATATATATATATATATATATATATATATATATATATATATATATATAATACAAATCAAAATAAAAACATCAGTGACTACTATTATATATAGTGTCCCAGAACCTATAGCTTCTGATTTATTTTGTTGTCTATTTTTAATGAAGAATGTATAAGAAAATAAAAACTTGGGGATTTTAAAATGGAACTTTTCTTGACATTACTCAGGGTATCTCATTTAAACTATAAATGTTAAAATGTATTCTGAGTGTGGTCAATATTTGCCATAGCCAGCAAACAAAACCAAGAAGAAAAATACTTGTAAAAGCTTTCCAATTCTCTTACACAGTTCACAAAAATGAGACCATAACAGAAATTGGGGTTGTCACTTAGTAATGGTAATAATGCAGAACCATAAATATGCCTTTGGAGCTGTGTGGGTTGAATTCTCCAACTGTTTCTTTCCTTACGAGAAAAACCATCTGGCTAAGTTTCTTATGCCTCAATGATGTAAGATAATAAAAGGTGAAACATCCCTGTACCTGGGAGGTCCCAAGAAAAAGGATCTTTCACTTTTGGGTACTTTCTGAATCTGTTACCAGTAATGGTCACCACATTAAAAGCCTACAGGATGCAAATATTTTGGAAAAAAAATACTGGGTCTATGTCTATTTACAGAATTAGTCCAGAAGATACCACATGGAAAGAGTACTAGACAGAGAAGCGGGGCCCTGTTCTCATCTACTCTCTGCCACCAACTAAGCAAGCAAGCAACCTTTCACAGAAGACTTCTACTGGCCTGGCTACAGGGCTCTCTTCTGTATAATGAAGGGTTCAGAGTAGATCACCCTTAACAACTCTCTGACTCTAAGGCACTTTTGTCCCCAACTCTGCTTGATAACCTGTTTGGGTGATTTCCTAGCAAGTACCTGTTTCTTGGTCACAGTGCCATCCACAGGGTCCACATATTCAAAGCTGTCTGTCTTCGCCACACTGTAGACCTGGTTCCCCACAGCAAACTGCTGGCCAGTGAAGGACTTGTCAGTGACCAGGGCTTCCAGGTCCCTCATGATGTAATATGTTGTCTTGGGCTCTAGTCCCTCATAGTCAAACCTGGTGAGGGAGGGCAGGACACAGGATGAGTACAAACCAACCACAGAAATAGTAATTAGGTGGACCTTTCAAGGTCATCTAGTCATTGGTTTGGTTTTCACAGAATAATTGCACAGAAAAACACCCCCGGCTGGTCTCCCCTCTTCCACCTGTCCCTTACAAGTCATTCCCCACACAGCAGCTGGAGTAATCTTGTAAAAATCAAATCTTTTCAGTACTTTTCTTTAAATCCCCCCCCCAAAATGTCTATCATGTTATGAACAAGTCTCCAAACTTTAAGGACAGACTAAATGGCACACACTTTCCCTCTCCTGCCTCCCAGCTTTTGCCTTTGCTCTCTCTGTTCCCTTTGCCTGGCAACTTTTTCTCTCAGCTTCTCAAACTCAGTATCTCCTCCAGAAAGTGACCTTCCCCACCATCTGTCTAAGGTGGTTTCCCTTCTATTTCCCTCCCTCAAACTCACCACTCTTTGTATTTCTGTTTGGCAGTTATCCCAATCTATATTAACCTTCTCTGCACATGTTTACTTATTTCTTGTCTGTCTCTGCCTATGAGAATGTAAGCTCCAGGAGGGCAGAGAGCTTAGCTGTTTTGTTCTCTGCCCTTCTAGAGTTTCTGGTAAGCAATGTTTTGTAAGTAGTGGAATTAAAGGAGGGTGGGGAGGGGAGGCGAGAAAGGGAAAGGAGAGATAGAGAAGAATCAACAGAGGCAATGAGAGGAGAAAGGGAGCTCAATTCCCTTCTAACAAAGCTCGCTTGGAAACTTGGAAGAAATATCATAATTGTTCAATTGAAAATAGTCTTTCTGGCCAAAATCATCAAATGTAACAATGAGGCTAGGAGGTGATGGGAGGTGGGGGGACAAGACTAAAAATAACACCTATGTCATTTATTGTTTCAGGGCTTAAATATGAGAATGCATACCAACTATGTGGCACAGTGCCAGACACGAGTGCTTAAACTATTCTTAGTCACTACCACATAAGCCAATAGGGTCTTTCCCTATGTAGGACAGTCTTGACCAAGACCTAATGGCATACCCAGGAGAGTCTTTAAGAAGAAACCCCTAGGAGGGGCAGCTGTATCCAAGTTACCGTGGTGGGATCTCACATTTGTGCTCTCTGTAGTATAGGGAAAGTGTGTATGTTCTCAGAGTGAACTGCAAGGAGATCTGAATAGTTGTTACAACTTTTTTCCACCCAAGACCTTTCAAGGCTTCTAGTAAACATCAAGATATTAAGGGTTTGGGAGGAAGTAATGGTAGAAATGGAGAACATGGAATGATACTACATCCAGCAATGGGTCCCTTGAACTCATAAGCTGTTCTTTTATTCTCCACCCTACACACAGTGTGCCCTCCTCAGTCTCAGAAACAAAACAACAGTGAACTCTCAAAGCATTTTTTCTGAGCAGGGCATGCATTCTGAGCCTAGATTCCCTTTAAAGATAATTCTCTGGGGGATGGAGGGGAAACTAAAGACCTAATAAAGCAAAAAAGAGGTAGTAGGATGAGATAGTAGGAGAGAGAGGGGCACTGGAAGAAATTCAAACATTGAGAAAATCCATTAATGTGACAGACCATGTTCAGCCAATGGCTGAAGTCATCAGACCAGCCTGCCCAAAGGCTCGTCTTTGCACACAGGCAGATCATTGCACCTCTCCCCCTCACCACCCCAAATAACCCCTGCTGACCACCACTAGGCAACACACTTGCAGGAAAAGAAGGCTTTCACTATAAGGAAATATATCTGGGTTCTCAGACAATTTGAGATGCAATATTAGTTGAACCAAAATTGTTTTATTACCTCCTCCCTGTCAAGAAAATTGCCAGGTTAGAAATCACATTATTTCAAAAATATGTTCAAGCTGCATATGCTGGACGCTGAAGGCAATGTTTACCTTTCCTTTTACCTATTCTCTTCTCCCTTTTTTCTTTATCTCCATGATCTGTTTTGGACAGAAATCTGAAACATAATTCAGTGTCTTACAAGAATTTAAATCTCCATTGCCTGTTATTCTCTAATATGGTATTTGTTATGAAAAAGTAATTATCATGTAAGTTCTTGGCCACAAAAAAATGATCTATCTCATAAATACACTTATCATAACACCATGTCTTCAAAACATTGGCAGAAAGTCAGATAATCATTCCATAAATGATGAGGAATACATCCTGATTCAAAACAATCTTACTAAGCCAGAAGTTGGCAATCATAATATATTCATCAGGTTGGGTATATTGGAACAGCTTCTTGCTATTGAAAGATCTGCTGACCCAATTAGCCCCTTGGCATGCCAAAAAAAGCCAACAAAATTCAGGATTTGGGGTCACTTGTTAGAAATGGCAGCCAGTAACACAAGTTCCCATCTGCCTTGAAAGTCCAATTTTATGATACAGTGAATAACTTGAGGTGGTTTTCAGGCCACCACATCTGTAGCCTTTTTCACCAAACAGGAGTAAGAAAATGACAGCACTACCTACATTTCCCCTAGCACTGGAGTCTCTTTGATTTTAATGTGTACTATGACAGGCTTCCTTATTCGCTGATATTTATCTAAGTAAATTCAGTAAACTGAACTTGTAAGAGAAGAAACAATCACCTTAAAAGGGAAGTCTAAAACTTTCTGTCCTTCAAGTTCTTGAAACACAACCAAACATCCAAAGTACTTAACTATTCATAAGCAAAGCAAATGAGCCACAATCTCTGTTTTAAATCACAGACAGCCTCTGAGGCTACCCAAAGATCCCCTTCTCCACCCCAAGTTCTCCACAATCAACATCCTTTCCTACCACTGCTCCTCCTGAACCACGATTTGATACTAGGTACTGAGGAGGCAACCACAGAGCCAGAAAACTTCAAGCTCACTTAGGTCAGTAAAGGAAAGCAAGCGATAGAGACCACCAATCCTAAGCTCTTACCCACCGACTTCCCCTTCCTCTTCCACAGGGAATTATTTCCCTGTCCTGTATCTCCTCTAGTAATATGTGGGTTCCAGATATTGTTATGTGGTTCCATAACCACATAACTCTTTCAATGGGTGCCACCTACAGCACCTTGGACATTGTTCAGATCATCAGTGGAGAGGTAAGATAAAAAGATATGAGGATTACAAAGCACCCCAACTGGTCACAGTTTCTGTCTCTATGGCCCTGCCTTGATAATTTTAGATGGAAAAACAATAAGGAAAGTCCCTGGCCTGACTGCTTGGTTCTCATGGGCACCAAAGCACATTTGAAGGCTCTGCAGTTCAGATTCCCTCCTGGGATGGCTGCCACCTTATAGACACTGAGCCCTTGATACCACACCCAACCACTTACCAGGGATTATCTGGCTCCAGCCTTTGTGTCCCTTAGATATTTGTGAAGATGTCTCCTTTTTCAGGTTCTAGCCACCATTTTTAGAAAGCTTCTCTAAGAGTTCCCTTGGATTCACAAGGAGACCCTTACCCTTCTTACCTGCAATAGTAGTGGCGGCCAAATTTGGCCCAGTGATCTCGGACAATTTCTTCAACACTCTGCTTCCGGGCAGCAATAATAGAGAGCCAGACCAAGACAGCCCAGAGGCCATCTTTCTCCCGGAGGTGATCAGAGCCTAGAAGAAAAAGAAATACTCTATTGAGGACTTGTTCCTTGGGGGAGGGGAGGGCTTAGGGGGAGGGGTTCTATTAAAGCTAAATGAACTATGAAATCCAGTTAGCAATTAAGTGTTGCATAAAAATGGCTAGATTTAGTTATTCATTGTATTAAATATATATCCCATAAAATTGTTGCAATGCCAAAAATATGGAATAGACAAAAGAACAAGATGTGCCAAATAAGAACAAGTGTTATGAAGAAAATAAACCAGGTGATGATATCATAGAGGACAACACAGCAGCAGCAAAGACTCCTTTCCCTAGGTAGTGTAGTGGGTTGAACAGTTGCCCCCCACTATGTTCACCCAGAACCTATGAATGTGACCTGTTTGGGGGAAACAATCTTTGCAGACAAAGTTAGTTAAAAACCTTGTGATAATCATCCTGAATTATCCAGGTAGGCCCTAAACCCAGTGACAAGTGTTCTTGTAAGAGGAGAAGGCATAAAGAGGGGATATATAGAAAGGTATATACTATGTAAAGATGGAAACTGAAGTTACATTGCTACAGCCAGTAATTGAAAGCAGCAAGAAAGGATTCTCCCCTACAGCCTTTATTTATTTTTTTAAACATAAAAACTGGTTTTTATCAATTTTCTGTACATGCATAATATCAGTTTCTCTCAGTAACCAACTCAGCATTGCAAGTCCTGATTTGAGTACAGTTGACTTTGACTTTCTTCAGCTTCCCTGTATCTACCTTGAAAAATCATGGTCTATCATGTCTTTCAGTTTTCCAATGCCTCCATTTTGGACTTATGGGCTTCATAACTATTAGAGAATAAATTCTACTGTAAATCACTCAGTTTTTGATAACTTGTTATGACAGCCTTAGGAAGCTAACCATAATTAGTCAGGGTCAGCCCAATGAGGTTACACCGCTTGAGCTGACATTTGATAATGAGTCAGCCCTGCCAAGATCTGGAACAGAGTATTCCAGGCTGGGAACAGAAACGCTAGGGTTCCTGAAGCAAGAATACATTTGGAAACTTAATCCTACAGTTATTTATACAGAAAAAGAGAGGCAGTTTATATTACGGCATTCATGTGAATGAAAAGTCTAAACAAGTAGCTTCCTGCACAAAAAGAACCTAGAAGAATGTAAGCCCATTTAAGCAACTGCCTATTGTAAGTGCATCTGAAGTGAATAAAACTGAATACAATGGAATGTGTAGTACTTGTGTGGAAAATGAAGAAAGAAAACAAGTGAACAAACAAACAAAAGCAAACTCTTAGACTACAGGAAGAAAATGGAGGTTACCAGAAGGAGGAAGGGGAAGGATGGGTGGGAAAATTCGGGAAAGGGGTCAATTACATGGTGGAGGAAGGCAACTAGAATTTTGGTGGTGCTCACAATGCACTTTATACAGATGTCTAATTATAATAATGAACACCTGAAAGCTATATAATTCTATGCAATGCCAATAAAAATTTAAAAAGTGGAAGGATTATGTTGAAGTGAGAGAAAAATGGTATAAAGAGGAAGGCACTGGATTGGAATTTTAAACCAAACACAGTTACTGCCTGAGTATGTGAGAAGCCATTGCAAGCTTGCTTACTTTCCTGAGCTTCAGCCTCTCATTTATAAAATTGGAACACTATCACCAGTCTTTTGGGAGTGTTGTGTCCATTTAATCAAGTTCAGGAGACAAACTCTCAGCTCTGACTGCTCAAGATCAAATTCTAGCTCAGCCACTTCTGTGTGACGTTCTATCCTTGCTTGCAGCATAGGGACCAGGATGATCCAACCACAAGGGAGAGCTGCCAGGACACAGTGACTCAATGTACCTGGGTATTTAGAACACTGACGGATGGCAACAGGAATGGTTGTTGCTGCTGCTGTTGGTGATGGCAATTCCCATAAAGCACAAATGTGGTATTGATTCTTCCATACATACTTGAGGCAAATTATTTTCAGTTATTCATAATTTTATCCCTATAGATAACAATAGCAATGTCTTAAGAGACTGGGATAAGAAGTGAACCATTTCTTCTTGCAATAGAGCAATGTTAATGAACAATGGTACTCTTGAGTTTCACAGCTGTGAAACACACAGAAAATCAAAAAGGGAGACCTAAGATCACAGGACTTTTTAAACCTTGGAAATGGGCTGAAACAATATCTTAGTTAAGTCAAACAATTTTGAGAATTTCACTCCAAAACTATGGACCATCTATCCTTCCTGTTATGTTCACAATGTTAAATGTTTTTCCTCAAAAAAGAAAACATACAACATTTAAGAGGGCAGTGAAGATACTATAAAGGAAAAAGTATCCATCTTTAGTTCTTCCCACACCCATCAATGGTCTGATGTGACATTTCCAGCTGTCTGCTTGTAGCTGTCTGTAGGGAGAGAAGACCCTAGGCATTAATCATTACCCCGTGGAGTGATCCTAGTCTCATCCAGCAAATTCTGCACACTGCTACAAAGACAGAAGAAGTTAAGAAGACGCTGGGTTTCTTCCATGGCTAAGTGCCAAAAAAACAAGTTTAGGAAACCCTGCCCAGTGGGGTAATTTCAAAACCTTTTGTCCTTTTATAGCTGAAAAAAAAATCACTTATATTTACTGGTTAGAGAAAAATGCCCTTTTGTTCTAAACCATGGGCTTTGCATACCTTGGATCTCCAGCTGTATCATATTACATAAAGATAGAACAATTAGAAGCTGTTAAGTCTGTGAGAGATGTCATAATTTAGAGGCAGAGAGACATTTAGTTCCCCAGCAAATTTTCAAAAATCCACCTCAACTAATTATAACCTACTGCACAAAAAATTGTGAGTTGGCTTGAATATATCAATAATTACCTACAAGATAAATATTTGCCAAGATTCATAATGGGTCGATGATTAAATAAAATTAACTGTGCTCTTCACAGTTTTTGGAGGTGAGGATAGAGATGATGATGTATTTCCACTGGACTCTGATAGTGTGTTTTACAGGGGCTTTGGGGATACAAATTTACTTTTACTAACTCTTCAAGGCACATGAACTATAATGCCATATCAGTGACAGATAAATTATACAAGAAAAGGTAGAACACAAAGGCATCAAAGTTTTTTAAAACCTTAGTATGAACAGAGTGAAAATAGAGGGGAGGAATATTTACGCGATATATGGCAGGGCTAATAGACTATATATTAAAACAAAAGAAAAAGAGGAACCCATTAGAAAACTGAACTGTATGGAAAAACACACACATGTAATTTCTAAGAGAATAATATTAGTAGTCAATAAACATTTGAACAAATGTTTGATCTCACTGTGGTTGAAGTCCAAAAAGCAGAACATCATTTGGAAATTGACATATTAGTAAAGTTTGGCTAGGGGATGGGGAATATTTTATACCAGCAAAGTACAGTGTAAATATGTAGTGCCTGCTAGAATAATTTGGCAAAAATTATCAATAGTCTTAAGACTATTCTACCCAGCAATTCTACCCTTAAACTTTCTTCAAAAGGCCTCTCACTAAATTAGTTATGTGAAAAGGGAAAAATAGGGGAAAAAAAAAATAAGTACTTCTTTAGTAACATGTGTTCATCCACTTTTATAAATAGAATCAGTTCCAGAAAGAATATTCCATACATTTTCATAGAAAAATATACGTATATGTAGATATGTATCTATATGTGTGCATAGATAACAACAGAAGGATATAAACCAAACCATTGACAATGACTATCTCTAAAATTCCTGCTAGAATCACAGGTACTATTTTTTTCTGTCCCTTGTCTATTTCCACAATAAAATTGTACTGTTACGTGTAACTTAACAACAGAAATACATTCTGAGAAATGTGTTCTCAGGTGATTTCATCATTGCACTGTGTGTCATAGAAAGCCATCAGTCTGTACAGCTGAGCCTACTATGCACTCATGAGGACCAGCATTTTATATGTGGCCCATCGTTGATTGGAATGCCATTAAGCAATACCTGACTATATATTTTTTTCAAGATAAGACAATAAAAATGTTTAAGCTGTCAATGTAGTTTAAGAACATTAAATTTACCAAGGGCTAACTGGGATATTAAAGGGATCAAAACCACTATGAACAGGTGATGAACTGTGAAGCTATTGATTATCCTGTTTCCCAGATGGAGTAATAGCTTTATAGAGTACAGAGAGTGGAATAAGGCTTTAGGATTAAGACCAGGGATGTCCTTTAAGGCATCAGTCCCTGACTGAAGATGGGAAGGAGGTGTCCTGCTGAGCTGTCAACTCTGGCTTCAGGTCAAGTTGGGCCAGAGGGACAGGTTCTGCTGAATTCACAGGGAGGACCCGCCAGGCAGGACACAGGTGCAGAATCACACCAATAACCCCTATGGCATTTTTACTGTGGCGTGATCAGTTGTAGAGGGGCTCACCCAAGCCTGTGTTTCCTACCCCCTCCCCCACACCCACCCAGCTTTCTTCCCAGGCAAAATCCCAAATCCCAACATTCTGTGAACAAAGAGCTGTTTGGGGAGAAAAACCCTCTTTTACTTCCTCATCTTACATATTCACATCTGCTCCATTTTTAGAACATGAGATCCTAGAAAAATATTCCTCTACTCTCACACACATATTATATCCAAGATATTTTTAATGCATTCTAATTTTTAGAGTAGCTTCATTTTCTTAGCTTCACAGAAAAGTTGACTGGAAAACACAGAGAGCTCTCAAATACTCCTGTCCCAACACAAATAAAACACCCACCGGGGTATTGATGAACCTGCAACAGAGCTATAGAGGGACTATGGCATCTAAAGGACAGTGCCCGATAGAGGACAGGTCACTGTGTGGTTTCTCAGCCAGACGTACAATTCCAAGAACACTCAGGTTCAGGGAACAACAACTATGGGGTTTATTTAACAAGCAAGGGAAACAGTTCTGAGGCCGCACGTGATGGGCTATCTCACCCCAGAGAGTGTCCGCAGTGTCCAGAGGTGCCAAACAAAAGGCCGCTCATCCAAGATGGT